TGGGAATCCAAATACCATTTAGGCCAGAGATAGCCTTATTAAATATGATCCCAGACATATATACAACCACAGATAAATATGTAATTAGATATTTCTTTACTGCGGCAAGAATATTATTAGCTAAAGCTTGGAAAGAAGAGAAAGTGCCTTCAGAAATAGACTTAATTGAAAAAATATTAACAGTAGCGGAAATGGACAGAGTAACCTTAAGGTTACAAGGCAAAAATAAGGAAGTTTTTGAAAATCGTTGGAAAAGGTTCTATTCATGGTTAGAAAATGTAATTAAGAATGACTCACAAGAATGAAAACTGTATCGGAAGTAATGCACTGTATATATACTGAAAATTTTTAAATAAACTACTTAAAAAAAATGAATCTTCCCTTGGCCCCAACATATGTATAATGGAATGTGTGATATGAACCCTGTACACATACATTCATGCTTTTCTCTGCCACACAAAATGCAGGGCCTTTACAGCTAAAATGTCTCAAAGTTATTGCCATTAAAAACTGATGTGACAGAGAGATAGTGCCACACAATAAAAGGTAGTAGAATCACTATGTATACTTGAAGATGGAATGTGTGTGTGTGTGAACAAAATTTCATGTTGTGTAAGCAGCATGAAGAGGCAGGCAATGGCAAACCACCTCTGAACATATCTTGCCTTGAAAATCCTGCAACTTGATAGCACTTCCCACCACCAAGAAACATGAAGATCAGATAAAAATATATAAACTATGGAAGTTTATATAAGAATTTTTCAGGAGGGGTTTATCTGATCATCGTACCAGATAATAATTTATTAAGGGAACAATCCTAAAGTGGTCTTTTTGTTGTTGTTGTTCAGTCGCACAGTCGAGTCCGACTCTTTGCGACCCCATGGACCAGATCACGCCAGGCCCTCCTGTCTTCCGCCGTCCTCTGAAGTTGGCTCAATTTCATGTTCGTTGCATCTATGACACTGTCTAACCATCTCATCCTTTGCCGTCCCCTTCTTTGACCTTCAATCTTTCCCAGCATTAGGGTCTTCTCCAGTGAGTGCTCCCTTCTCATTTGGTGGCCAAAGTATTTGAGCTTCAGTTTCATTATCTGGCCCTCCAGGGAACAGTCAGGGTTGATTTCTTTTAGGATTGACTGATTTGATCTTCTTGCAGTCCGAAAGACTCTCAAGAGTCTTCTCCAGCTCTGTAGTTCAAAAGAATCTATTCTTCGGCGCTCGGCCTTCCTTATAGTCCAACTCTCGCAGCCATACATGACTACTGGGAATACCATTGCTTTGACCATGCGGACTTTTGTTGGCAGGGTGATGTCTCTATTTTTTTTATCATGCTGTTTAGGTTCGCCATCGCTTTCCTCCCAAGGAGCAGGCGTCTTTTAATTTCATGGCTGCTGTCACAGTCTGCGGTGATCTGGGATCCCAGGAACGTGAAGTCTGTCACTACTTCCACGACTTCCCCTTCTATTTGCCAAGGAGTGATGGGGCCGGATGCCATGATTTTAAGTTTTTTTGATGTTGAACTTCAAGCCCACTTTTGCACTCTCCTCTTTTACCCTGAGCAAGAGGCTCCTCTTCCCTTTCTGCCATTAGAGTGGTATCGTCTGCATATCTGAGGTTGTTGATCTTTTCCCCAGCAATCTTAATTCCCGCTTGTGATTCATCCAGGCCAGCATTTCGCATGATGTACTCTGCATATATATTAAATAAGCAAGGTGACAATATACATCCTTGTCGTACTCCTTTTCCTATGCTAAACCAATCAGTTCCATATCCGGTTCTAACTGTTGCTTCTTGGCCCTTATACAGGTTTCTCAAGAGACATGTGAGGTGGTCTGGTACTCCCATCTCTTTAAGGACCTGCCATAGTTCCTTAAAGAGTTGGGAGTACCAGACTCCAATATACTCCAATATAAACCCCATTTCATTCAATGGAGCTTACTTCGAAGAAGAAGAGTTGGTTTTTATACCCTGCGCTTCACTACCTGAAGGAGTCTCAGAACAGCTTACAATCACCTTCCCTTCCTCTCCCCACAACAGACACCCTGTGAGGTAGTTGGGTCTGAGAGAGCTGTGACTGACCCAAGGTCACCCAGCTGGCTTCAAGTGGAAGAGGGGAATCAACCCCAGTTCTCCAGATGAGAGTCCGCCGCTCTTAACCACTATACCACCCTGATTCTCTTGAGGATGGTATTCTTAGGATTTCAGCCTAAGGCTGCAGTCTTATGCATGATTATCTGGAAATAGGCCTCAGCAGCATAAAATGTATCGATCGTAGCATGTTCAACATAACAGCCCGCATTGCGGGGAGGGCGGGGTATAAGTTGAATAAAATAAATAAATAAAATAAACAGGATGTTTTATACAATGGACAATTAAAGCTTTAACATCCTTTTTCTCTACAGGTTCCTGAAGGGAAAGTGGTTGTCCTTTCCTTTCGATTCATAGACCTGGAGAGTGATAACTTGTGCAGATATGACTTTGTGGATGTGTACAGTGGCCATGACAATGGACAACGCCTTGGCAGATTCTGTGGCACTTCCAGACCTGGTTCTCTGGTAGCTAATAACAATAAAATGTTGGTGCAAATGATTTCAGATGCCAATACAGCTGGAAATGGCTTTGTTGCAAAGTTTTCTGCAGCAGAACCACATGAGAGAGGTATGTTGCATGTCTTTAATGCTTATTTAATACTAGATATAAAGATTAACTAAGGTGTAGGTTTTCTTTTAAGAATGTAAAGCCAAGAGAGTCAATCTAGAACTGAAGTTCATTTGGTAACCATATAAAAAGGTCTAATATCTAGGACAGTAGATGCAAGAATGTGTGGTAGAACTAGCACAGTACGATAACTTTCTTTATCATTCTCCTCATTCACTGGCTAATGTTGTAAATTGATTTGTTTTGAGTGGACAGTAGATAATTCCAGCCTTGACATGGATATCCCAAACTAGCTGAATCTTGTTGGATCTCAGAAACAAAACAGGGTCAGCCCTGGTTATTAGTTGGAAGGGAAACTACCAAAGAGTTCCAGGGTTGCTATGCAGAGGCAAGCAATTTCAAACCACCTCTGTTAGTTTTTTGCCTTGAAAACCCTATGGGGTTGCCATAAGTCAGCTACAACTTGATGACACTTCACACACAAACACACACACACACACACCATCTCATTTGCCATTAACAAAGTGTTTCACAGTTTTCTTTTTAAGTTTTACATACTTAACTAATTGTTACTGGATTTCCAACTATTCACTCGCTAAGGTTAAATTTTATCCTCTTCAAGAATGGACAAAATGAAATTCTGTTGAACATTCATGATATATATATTGGCTGCAGAGAAGTATCGGAAATACTTTGTGAACCACCAAACATTAGTTCGCAGCATTTCACTGAAGAAATACAGACTGGCTTGACTACTGGGCAAGTTTGTTCAGCAACTGCATAGCCATAATAACTGAAATGACTTCCTGCTGGAGGCACACTGTGTAACGTTCTGGCCCAAATGTGAGCAGTGTGGCTTTAAAAACGTTATTTGTGATGAAAGGCCCCCATTTAAATGAGCCTCCTTAACCCAACGTAGATTTCACTCTTCTGACTACATTTCTTGCTGGCTAAGCTTATATTGGGTCAGCATCAGTGCTCCCTCCAAGCTGTGGAGTCTCGTGAGCAAAAATTCTACTTTGTGAGCTGCTGGCATTAAAGTTGTGAGCAAGTGATATGGCTTCTGCATAAATTAGTTTGCTCTGGAGCCATCCATCCTGAGCTAAGACAGAAATATGTGAGTCGGAGGCTAAAAAACTGTGAGCTAGCTCACACTAATGCAGCTTAGAGGGAACACTGGTCAGCATGGAAGAAATGTTGTGCCTGATTAGGTGAGATAGTACAGAATTGCAACTTCTTTTCAAAGTTCAGAGGGGGAAAAATCTCTGTGCTGTGGCTCAGTTAAAAAAACGGGGTCACCTTACCTGGAAGGTGAATAGCTGGATTCATAGACCATAGTTGTAGTCTCCAGGAGGTTTACTAATGAACTGAATGTAGGAGCATTTCTCTGGAGCACATATGTGCTTGGGCAGAGAGGTTGTAGAGGCTGTGCTTTACTGCGTGCTTTCTGAGAGATGAGCAGTTTAGCTACACTGAATCTATGATTTTGCATTAATAATATGTTGTGCATTTTTAGGAGATCAGTACTGTGGCGGACGACTGGATAAGCCTTCTGGATCCTTTAAAACTCCCAACTGGCCCGATCGAGATTACCCGGCTGGAGTGACCTGCTCATGGCACATTGTAGCTCCAAAGAATCAGGTGAGTTGTGTCTCAGCTTTCATTCCCCCTCCCCTCTGCTTGCAAAACCTTCTTATTCCTGACTCTCTTCCCAGCTTAATGGAGCCCATGCCATTCTCAGTTTCTGCCACTTACTTGTGCCCAGAGATCGCAAGATATTTGTGGGTTTTAGTATATGTCCTGTCAAAGCGAGCACATCTATGGCTTTTGTGCTTGGGCTTACTAGGAAGGCACTGATTAACAAAACTGTTCCTTGATTAGCTGTATGTTATACCTGCTGTTGAATCGTGGTAGAGAAGCAGAAGTATAACAAATCTGAATGTCATGGGAAGATTGCTTGGGATATGTCTTCTGCTGTTTTTGCATCCATTAATCTACTGCATAATAAAGTAAAGGTAAAGGTTCCCTTGCTCGAAAGCCAGTTGAGTCCGACTCTAGGGTTGCGGTGCTCATCTCCGTTTCAAAGCCGAAGAGCCAGCGCTGTCCGAAGACGTTTTGGTGGTCATGTGGCCGGCATGACTAAACACCAAGGCGCACGGAACGCTGTTACCTTCCCACCGAAGTGGTACCTATTTATCTACTTGCAATTTCTTGCTTTCGAACTGCTAGGTTGGCAGGAGCTGGAACTAGAGACGGGAGCTCACCCCGTCTTGCGGCACCCAGGTCTCGAACTGCTGAACTACTGACCTTCCACAGGCTGCAGTTCAGCGTCTTAACCACTTGAGCCACCGCAGCTCCATTGTTTCGTAACAGGTTGAGCTTTTAGTATTAATTGGTTTCTAGTTACTTGTACAGCTGTGGTCCTTATAAATAAACCTTGTTTTATTGTAAATGTAAGTAAGGTATGTGCACGTGCACACGCACATAACATTCAGCTAGGACAAAATTGGATTTTTATTTTGTTTCTATTTTTTCTCTTATAAAGTCTTCATACACCTGACATGACATAGAAGAGTAATAATTCTTACTTTATAGTCTCTTCTGTGTTCATTTACCTCTGGTTTCCTCTTTTGGTGCAACTTCAGTAAAGTTTTTGGGAACATTATTTTCTGTTGGCCTGTCTTTGAGTTCAGACTTTTAAAACAAGAAGTGTTTATGGAAAGGAAGAATGGCTTGTTATAGGAAATAAATGAGGTTTTCTCATTAAATTTAACATATATGAACCATTTCTGAGCAACAGAGTGGACAAACTGTCATTTCATCACATTTACAATTCTATATATCCATCCTTTAAGAACATTAAGGGGTGTATTTTCCATTCAAAACATTTATGATATCAATATTTACTCTACCTTGGACCAAATAGTCCATCCAGGCTCATTCCGTTACCTCTGCTCTTCTTACCGATCTTCCAGTTGTAATTTCATAATCTATTTAGTTGTGGTTTTCCTTATAATAAGCATCTTACCATTTCATCTCTTCTGGCTGAAGCCATTTTGCCTACATTCATATCCACTTGCATTCACCCTGTACAATCTTACTAATGTGTCTTCTCATGCTATGTCAGGCTATTCAATCTTTGCTCTGTCTTTTTTGTTATTGCCCAGGTTTCTGCTCCATAAACTATATTATGGCAGGAGGCACATAATGATTGAATACCTTTAACTTCAAGCATATTTGGTAGGTTGGTTGCTTTTTGTATCTATGTTTAGCTTTCTGAAATCTTTTACATGCCACTTTGAGTTGCCTTTTAATCTACTTCTCATGACCATAATCCTCCAAATGAAAGAGCTGTCCAAGATAAATGTACTCTTCTGATCCTTCATTTTTCCTACATTGATCAAGATAACATTTTCTTGAACTTTGTACTGTACATCAGATTAGTCTTTTCCTGTATTCATCTTAAATCCACATTCCTTGCTTGCTGGGATCATTTAACAATTCTGTGGATAACCAGAGATTTCATTGAACATGATTATCTAGAAATTGCAGAATATTTTGATTGGTCTCATGTATTCCCATTCATACCTGAAAATATCACTGAATTCATCATTTCTGTGTATTTGTCACAGGCTCAACTTCTTGAGAAACTGCTTTTGTAGTAGTTTTAAACATACTGTTTTCATTATATTCCAAAAAATGCTTCTTCCAAAGGCTTTACAAACAATGAATTAAAGTCTTCTGGTAGCTCCCTAAGAAACTTTGATTACACTTTTATTTCAACTAGATGTTTTAAAATTATTTGATGCCTTCTTAGAGTCAAATAGTGAAATGAACAAAGAGAAAATTGTGCTCCCAGCCTTTACTTTTCAGACCTGTTTTCTGTTTGATTCTGTTCTGCATTATGGCTATTGCTGACAAAGGAAGAATAGATGGGTTTTATTCTTTGCACCATGGAAGTTAATTCATGCCTAGCCCTTGCACCTGTATAACTGATGGGGAGCAGTCAGCCTTCGTGCATAGGAGAGCAGTATTTGCATTAGCTCTTTTAAAAAGCAGAGTAGATAGCCGTGGAGACAGGGACTGCACGGAATTCAAAGAACTAAAGAAGTAAGTCATGAAGTTGTGTGTATTGCAGTGAGGTGGAGGGGCAATTCTTGATCACATTTTTGACACATTAAGTTTTAAAAGGACAGCATGAGCTCACTTGTTCTTAAAAGGGGAAGGCTTAGTCATTAAATAATTTAAAACAAATTAAACTTTAAAAATAAGTATCAGATGACATTAGTAGGTGTTGTGTTAATGCACAACTAATAGTCTACTACCAATGTCTTCCTCAGCTGAATCTTATTTTCCTAGTAACAAATATCATTCCTTGCAACAGAAATGTTAATTTATTAAACAGTTTCTGCTTGACAACTAATAATTACTGTGCAAAGCAAAAATAAATAAAAATCTGGAGAGGCATTACTGGATCATGCCTCACCCACTGCCCTTTCTGTAAGGCTTTAAGTGAAGAAAAGCTGGGTGAGATTCAGTAGCTATATAACTTAGCACATACATACTTGCCTCTGGTTTCTTTCTGTTTCATCATTAAGCATGGCTTTTCAGTTGCAATGTCTTGATGCAACATGAGATAATTGTAATAATGTTTGATTGTCAATGAAGAGCCAATGTACATAAGTGCTTTATCAGAGCTTCTGGTTTTATAGTTCATTAACATGGAACTATCAGTAGTTATCAGAGCCCCATGATAGTTGTGGAATATTGTAGACAGCACACTATTAACCCTGTCACTTAGTGCATTAGGAGGCTCTGTAAAGATCCGTTCATTCCCTTTAGCCTGCCTTTCTACCAATAGGCACTTAAAATGGCTTACAAATAGGCAATTAAAATAAACACGCAATGGAACTGAGGGTTAAGTGGCCTTAAATGCATCCCACTGGAGAGATGTATATTTCTGTCTCTATGGACCTTACATCAGCATTTGTTTTCCAGATGGCTTGTTCAACAAAAATTCCATTAAGTTGCATTTTAGAGGGGTTAGATTCAACTCATTACATTTATCCTAAAAAAATAGTTGAATGGTGCATAAATTCTAATAGCTTATTTCCCCATTTAATTACATTGAAATAATTCTAAAACCTATCTAATATGAAGGAATTGCTGTAATCATACTTTGTTTTGCCTTGTGTATTCATTTCCTATGAATTTTTCCTTCAGTACTTGGTTGTTGTCTTAACTTTTGGAGTAGTATTTTGGGCAAACTGGTTTTCTGTTGTACATACTCTTGTTCCCACACCTTTTATACAATCCAAACATTAGTGCTGCCATTAAGATCTTACTAAAGATTGGCAGTGCTAATTTCAGTAGTCTGTACTGATGCATTAATTCAAACACAGTAATTGTTTATTTAAATGCACTGTGCTGTACAAAACAGGGTATGAAATGTTTTAATTTTGGAGAGAAATTAACATGAAGCATTAATTAATGATGTTTTAATTAGTTTTCTGGTTCTTTCCCTGCAGCTAATAGAATTAAAGTTTGAAAAATTTGACGTGGAGAGAGATAACTACTGTAGATATGATTATGCGGCTGTGTTTAATGGCGGAGAGATAAATGATGCTAAACGAATTGGAAAATACTGTGGAGACAGTCCACCAGCGTAAGTAATGGTTTCACTGAGAGAGCTATGTTTTTCCTGAGTGAGCTATGTTTTCAAATCCTGTGAAAAGGGAGTATAACTGTGGAACCTGCATATTTGCTGCAGTGCCAGATAGCTCATTCTTCTGAGTTTTCCCATTAAAAACATGTTGTCCCTTAGCCTTTTTACAACAAAAGTTATTTGCCTGAAACATTACTGTAAATCCCTCACAGCCTTTTTAGATCTTAAGGGCACTTTCAATTCAGTTCCTAGAAATATTCTGTGGAAGAAGCTAAAGGATTGGGGGATTGTTGCGAGATTGCTTTTTTGATTAAAAAGCTTCACTCTGAAACCACTTGCCAGGTTAGGTGCTCAAAGGAAGGAGATCTAACACCTAAGATTCCAGTGTCCATTGGAGTTAAACAAGGATGCATCTTAGCCTGGCCCCCTTCCTGAAAGGAATAGATGGACGTAGTCCAAAACTAGGGGCGCTGCATGTACCACTCCTTCTGTATGCAGACGATGCAGTGCTTCTTTCCCTTTCAGAAATAGGGATGAAAAGGATGTTGCTTCATTTTCTCGATTATTGTGATTTGAATAAATTGACTCTAAATTATGAGAAATCTAAAATAATTGCTTTTGGGCAAAGTTGGAAACCTGTTAAGTGGAGTATTAGAGGGAAAGTGATTGAACAGGTTAAAAGCTTTAGATATTTAGGAGTTCACTTCTACTTCAGTGCAAATTGGGTTACTCACAAGGAAGTGTTAAAATCAGTGAATAGTAATGTTCTTGCAATTGCTCATTTCTTTTACACTAAGGGAAATCAGTATATTCCTGCAGCCCTTAGAATTTTCAATTACAAAATATGTCCCAAACTGCTCTATGGCATCCCGATTTGGATGGCATCCTTTAATAAAGCAATAGAATGCGTACAATCTACTTTTCTAAGGAAAATTCTGGGGCTGCCAGCATGTGTGCCTTATGCAGCCATTTGTTTGGAGACAAACCAAAGACGTTTAGTGACAAGAGCTTGGATTACAACAATCAAGAATTGGCTGCGTATACACTTTAGGAGTAGTCCAAATAGTCTTATAGTGCACATGCTCTCTGAAGCACAAACATCTGCATGGAAGACCTTTATAGGGGGGGAAATTCTGTAATTGGGCTAGATTTTGATGACATAGTGTATCTTTCTGAGAGGAATGCGTTTGTTCTGATTAAGCAGAGACTTGTTGATATTGAAATGCAGGAACTTAGAAGTCTTGCCTCTGGTAGGTGCTCACCTCTGAGGTGGGGGATGCCCTCTAACGGTTCTTTGCCTGAATATTTTGCTTGTCTGACAACCCCTGATCTGCAAAGAGCATTCATGTTAGCTCGTTTTAATGTTCTCCCTTCTGCTGTATTGTACGGGAGGTTCAAGAAAATCCCATACTCGTCTAGGTTTTGTGCCTCTGGCTTGGGAGAGATTGAAAGTATTGAACATATTATCCTGTATTGTTTCTTTTACTGTGACATTCGTGCTGTTTTTCTAGAACCTCTTTATCAGAGTCAAGTAGAGCAATCTGATGACCATAAGATCATTTCACTGTTATCTTCCCATAACCCCGAGACCATAGAAGCTGTAGCTTAATTTCTTTGTTGTGCTATTAAGACAAGAAGATTGTTTCAGTTGCAAGGGTAAAGGACGTATCCGTCTCCCTGCTGTATGTTCTGTCAATATATCAATAAAGGGTTCTGATTGATTGATACTGTAAATCCAAAATTGAGTAACAAAGTGCTGTTTCAGGACAATGTTAAAGAATTATGGTGGCTATATAAAATTAAGGAAATATTTTTTCCAAAAACCTTGACTGAGTGTACAACTTAGTATTCCAGAATTTTTAAAATTTCAGCAGCTAAGCAAGTTTAAAAAGGAAAAAAATATATACATAGAGACAAAAATATAACACCAGTGGTAGCAGAGCTGCACATAAATTTCTGTAAATGGTGTCCAATATCTAAAAATAAGTCCATACACAATTGCCATCTATATGCCGTATGTTCAAATACTGATAGAGCTCTAAGGTCCTCAATCTTTTGTTTTAATGGTGGGCTTTTATCTTCCCAACTAGTCTTTTAGCTGTAGTAAGGGCACAGAGGATCTATTTTTTTACTCTCAGTTAGCCTCCAAGAGATAGGCAGATAGTTTAAAAGTACATAAACATCCTCAAAAACCAATTAATATGCTAATATAAAATTGATATGGGTAATAACTTCCCAGAAAAACCTGATGACTGGACATAACCAAAGCATATGTTTAAGGGGTGCATCCTGTGAGTTACAACGCCAGCAGTTAGACACTTACTCAGTCCTTTGCTAAAGAGTTGCTGTTTTGTCCAGTACATTCTAAGCGTAATTTTTTGTCTAATAAGTCACAACTTAAGATCCATGGAGAGAGCAAGTATGAACTTCAAGGTCATGTACCATTGCTTTGGAAAAATAAGGTGATCTAGCTCCTTATTCCATTCATTCCTGATACTCTGCATATCATTTTTATTCATTGACATCAAATATGTATAAACAAATATTGCTGTTTTCACTATCTGCTTTGATTCAATTAAGTTTCCAGGAGCAAAGGGGGCTCTGAGATGCTTAATTCCATAGGGCCATATTTAGATACCAACAGATGCTGCAATCGTAAATATTGCCATTCAACAGAAGCTGACAAGTCATATCTAGACCTCAGCTAAGAAAGTGACAAAAACTCACTTGTCATCATAGTCTATTAATTGGTCCAATGTAAAAATCCCCTTATTAGTACAAACTTTCCATTAAAAAGATTTCTTCCCCATTTCTAGATCTAGATTGGCCCATAATGTTAATATACCATGTGAAAATGGATCAAATTGATATTGTCAAGACATTATACACCATTGTTTTCTAGCTGCAGAAATTACAGGAGGAATGGTATCCACTCTAGCATAAGTAGATCCTAATGCATTCTACTTAGATAGGTGTACAAGACAAGCAGAAGTTGGCATTCCAGAATTAATGTTTTGTTGTAACCTTTTTTGGTAGTTTCATATATTAATGTATGTTATGCACAGGGATTGTAACAGAAGTCGGCATTTGCATGCACTGTCTTCCTAATTTAATGTGTGTTTAACAGTTAAGTCATACAAGCCATTTGGGTTTTGAACAGTGAGGGGCAAAAGATGTCGACCCTAAGGCAGTAGAAGTCTCAGTTATGTGGGGCAATAATTGCCGATATAGTGGGCCCAAGGAGCAGATATGAATGCACACTCCCATCTACAAAGTGGGTGGAAAGGTGCCTCCTTAGCTGCACTCAGTCGCATAAGTGTCCACATCACAGTTCTCAAATTCACCACTTTGCACCATTTTTATGAACATCAGTCAACTTACCAGCTTTGAGCAATCTTAAGACCTGGCATAGAAATTTTCTAAAAAAAAATACCAGTTTACAACAAATCCATTGCTAGGTAACATGTGGAGTTGTGTACACAGAACAACCATTGGTATTGAGGATAAACACTGCAAGCCTCCAGCCCTATGACTTAAGAAACTTGCTGGATTGTGGCAATACTGTTTATAATGTTTACTTCAGAGTTCAATATATTTCAAACATATCAGGGCACCTTCAAGCTTAGCAACAATCCATGCTCCAGGAGTGTATATGTGGATTTGTATCTGGTGCATTTCAAAATTGTGTCACATCCCAAGTTGCAGCATTGTAACATTTATTTATGGCACTTTTAAAAACCCACCTTTCTCCAGTGTTACAATGTGATTTAAAATCACAGTAAAACTTTCCATATTGACTTGAAATCAAGATGACATTTAAAACATTTCTTTCTTTCTAAAATCTTTAATTTGGGCATATGATTGGTGCTGCTGACTGGTGGGGGCTTGCCAGACCCAGGACCCAGTGACAGGTGGGACCATCCCCCTACACCTCTGTAGCTATGCTTTCTCCTCATGTATCAGGCCCAGTGACCAAGCTGGTCAGGAGTCACCCTGCATCTTCCTGCTGTAGTGCTTGAAGAGAGAGGGGGAGGGCCTCTCCCATGCCAGCCGGGTGACGGGCTAAAGCTGCCCTCCAGAACCCATCAGGGCAGGCAGGCTCACTGACTCTGTGCCTTCTGGCTGAAAAGCGAGAAGAGCCACAGATAGTGAAAGAAGCACCTTCCCTGGCAGCCAGGTTTCCAGGTCTGGAGGAGCTCCCAGACTAGCAGACAGGTGGATCACCTGAAATGCAGGATAATGTGTTCAGCCTTGTTTTATAGGGTGTGCGTGTCTAATATTTGTGGTCATCTTCTTTTGGGGTAAATGTGGTATTACCAGTAATCAAAAGTCCATTCTTAATATGTATTCTATACACTGAACAATCCCTTCTCATAATAACGCTTGTCTTTAAAAGTTCAGCTTTACATAGCTGCCCAAAACCCAACAATGCGTGGGCCTTCCTGGCATCCCCAGGAAGCCATTCCACCAGTAAGAACCAGCCGTATAGTTTGGCGAGGCCAAAGGTCCAGAGGCAGGAATGGAAGAAAATGGCAAATATGGTTATAATAATAGTGCTTGCACAGACAGACTGAGAAAGCGCTTAGAGGAAGATCAGGGAAGAGATATCAAAGGCTTTAAATGTATTCATTTCTGTGAAAAATTGCTGCATTTCATGCAATATGCCACCAAAAATGTCCATAGGGTAGAAAGGTGAGGTTGATATTTTCTTAATAACTGAATATTAATGTGTTATTGTAGAAAATGGTTGTGTAGCAACTGGCTAAAACGTAAGTTATTAAACCAAAATACTTTATTTTTGCTGTAGTTATATATTAAATTTCAGTGCCTTTAGAATAACTCTAGAAACTCAAGACTATTACAGCATGGACTTTTCTAATGCAAAATGAGTGCTGGGTTATGGAATTTATTTATTTATTGCAGGTCTGGGCTACTTGTGAGCCTGTAGGAGGCTGATACAATTGCAATCACATTTCATGGTACTTGTATATTATCAGCCT